GCTGGGTTCTGAACCTTGAGCTGGGATATATACTCTGCCCACTTGGAAATCTTATCATTAACTAACTACATACTAATGTGTTTTTGTTTAAGACACATGCATGCTGCTATCAGATTGCTGGTCAGTGATGTCAATGAAACAGCATCTTGTTATCATTTATTACAATGAAGCTCCTCCTTATTTCCAGCGGCTACAAGATACTAAGTGTGGAAGAAAACAAACTATCAGGAACTGAAAAATGTAACGTGAAGAAGGGCCTGTCACTCTTTGACCATTTCATTGGCAGAGTCACATGGAAAGGAGGTGCCAGTAGATACTATAACACACTGATAGCTCGATGACCAATTCAAATGAGCCTAAAACCAGCCTGATAACCAATAAAACCCTCACAGTTAATATTAAAACCTAATTTTATACTGTGTAATTGTTCAATTGTTTAAAAAATGAAATAAATGATTAAATAGTGCATTCTTGTAGACATTTTTTTCTTTTTCATACTTTTAATTGAGAATTTTGGATTTTGTTAATGCAAACAGCATACATTCTAACAAAAAAAATTATAATCTAACAATAGTAATTTATATAGCAAATTTTACAACCCAGCATTATCCAAAGTGCTGAAGACAATCAATACTCACTAAATTAACAAATCACAGCACTTAAATAACAACTAAAATCTAAAAACAAAATCCCTCGACATTCAAAAGGCTTAAATGTTAAAGAACAAAGATGCAATTTCAGAAGGTTTTCAACAAGTAAAGTTGGAATGTATCTAATGTGAGGTGGAAGCTAATTAGAGCATTTGGAGTATACAGCAAAATCCCAATCCAAGACAGCCTAATACAGAAAGAAAAGACTGATCTGATGACCTTAATGACCTACCGGGACCATAAACGTAGGAGATCTGATAAACAAGGAGTTGCCAGATTCTTTAGGAATTTATAAACAAAATCTAATAACTTAAAATGAATCCAGAATCTGACAGGCATCCAACCCAGGGAGGAAAGTACTGGAGATATATGTTTCTGCTTACGTGATACCCACATACAAACAGTTCTAATAGTCAAGTCTCCCTAGAATAAAAGCGTGAATCACCTTCTTGTTAATCAAGAGAAACGACTTCACTTTTGCCACAAGCCGTAAGTGAAAAAAAATAGATTTAAGGACGTAATTTACCTTTTTTGTCAAATTTCAGATCACTATCAAACTGAAACACTAGGTTTTTGACAACAGGTCTGTCAGGAGGAACAGGTTCCCCAAACCAGAACAACTAACTTTCCCCTTATTGAAGTTTTAAAAAAATTGATGACAGCTAGGTCTTAACCTCACTTAAACATCTTATAAGGGAGTCAAGTGGATTTCCTTAAAAATAATTTCATTGTTTAAAAATAATTTCATTTTTAAGGAGGACAAAAATCTGTGTGCAGCATAAAAATGAAAGGCCATCACATATTTAAAAATTTGATTCTAAGGTAACATATATAAAGAAAATAAAATGGGGCCAAGAATAGACCTTATGGAACCCCAAGAAAAAGTCTATTCAACAATAACACAAAAACTTCTGTTTGACAAGAAAGATCTTAACCAATCAAGAGCAGAACTCTGACTGCCCACCACTTTCTCAACATGGAAATCAAGGATCTCATAGTCTATAGTACGTGTTGATAGTGTAGTTTATCATTCTCATCTCTTCTAATAAATCTATTTTACACCATAGGTTTAAAAACAAGTATCGTCTAATGCCATGATAAAAATGTAATCTATTCTTTCATAACAGGCTTCCATTGTTTCTGGCAATGCCTAACATTTGTAACTATTTAAAAAACAAAAAGTATTTTGTAACATTTAGGCACATATTTTCAAGTTTTGCCAGATGTTGTTACTAAATTATATTCCTCCTCCCTGTACCACATGTACCAGCATGTACTGAAAAAAATATGTGTTTTATTAACAAAGACTTGCGGGCATTATGGTGGTGCAGTGGATAGCACAATTGCCACAAAACAAGAAGGTCGCTGGTTTGAACATTTTAAGATATTTTAATAAGGTAAAGTAACATAAAAATGTGGTATAATGAATGGTCATATAACACTGATCTATCACATATTACAGTTGCACAAGGAATTTTAGTTGATTATTCCATTTAAGTAACACATTGTCTGCTTTTGGATCACTTTTACATTACATCTATGTTTACAATTTAAATGGGATTACCTTTTTTACTGGGAGGAATAAGGGGATTAGATTGTTATTATTAATATCATGAAAATGCATTAAACATGGATTCCCAAACCAAGGTTTATGAAAAAATATTGTAGTGAATATAAAGCCAACCATTAATTAAATCATAAAAGAAAATGTATAAATTATTTTAAAATAAAAACTTAATGAAATACACTTGAAGTATGTATTTGTTTACCAGCATGTCAATTATTGAAGCATTAACTTCAGATCTCAGGGTAAGAAAATACTTTAGGGGAAAGGCTTTTACTCACTCGCTCACTTCCCTTCGTCTTATTCCCTCCTTTATCAGGGGTCACTACAGCAGAATTACTCTGTCACGTTTTACCGCCAGCTCAAAGGATTTCAGTTGGCAAAAAAATGTGAGGGAATCTTAGATTTGCATAAACAAATGATTGATTGAGAAGCGTTCTTTTTTCTTCTACAAACTCTAAAGCATTGATTACAAAAAAATTTACATGACTGATTCGGTAATATACTGTGAATATTCTGAGCTAAACATGATCACACACAATATCATTTTTACTAAAGGAACATTAAAAGAAAAGAAGAATCCATGATGAATAATTTACTGGCCTTGCGTCAATTTGTCATCTTGTAATTGATAAAATAGTTATTGTTATCTTATTATGAGCATGTTAACATGTAATAAATATATCCTATATCTATTTACAAGTACCATATTTTTTTTATATTTTTTTATAATGTGATTACATAATTCAGACTACATGCAATAAGATACTATAGCTCTGTCAGTATATAAATATATTTATATATAATTAGATCTTAAAGAGATGCTGGTCAGAAAAGCTGAATTATGCTATTTTTAGTCTTACAGAGTTCGGAAGCTAGATGCCACTGTTGCACACACTGTAGAGTACAATCCAGTTTTATGGTTGAATACAGAACACATCACTAATAATAAATCAGCAATCTGACCATTTGCTTCATGAAGTAGTCCTGTTTATTTATTAATCTTTAGAACTTTCTGGTATGTGGAATGTATAGATTTATTGTGCACTATGTGATAACACACAGCATAGAGTTTTTGAACACAAGATTTCCATGTTTACATTTAAGTCATATAGGAGGTTGTCTAAAACAAAATAACCACACATGCTTGTTAGGTTACAGAATTAAATAAATTGCACAGGCAATGAATAAATGCACTAGACAACATGTGGAATCTATGACTAGCTTCGTGGAAACTCATACATTTAAATGGTGCCTAACACATTTTAGTTAACACAAGATGACGCAGACTCACAGCTTAATTGACTGAAGTGTGCATCACTGCATTTTATTGAAGGTCTAGTGTGCACAAAACACATTAACAGATACTCATGAAAGCATTTTATGTGCTTTGCTGGTGTAAACGGTCATGATATTATAAAATATCAATGCAGTCTTTCCTGCACATTTTGTACCCTTTAGACAACTGAAGGTACAAAAATTTAACTTTGTGTATAATCATCCCTGGGCTATTTAAAAATAAATTAAAAGGGGCTCTAAAACCTTAGGTTAAAAAAAATAAAATTAAAGTTAACCTTGGTAAGTGGCATTTGCCATTTATTTACAATTGCACACAAAACTATTAGCCCTTTAACTGTCACCCTCCACAGTTATTTTTTAAACTTTACATAAAGAGTAATAGATTAAAATACACCTACTGTCACCCTACAACCTGTGCAAACATGTATGACTACATTTTGAACTATAATATTGTGGTCTAAATATGATGCAATAATGACAATCAATATATAGACTCTATCATTTCACTTATTCATAATCTAATGTTTTAGATACTGTATAGGCTTACATGGTACAAAATAACAAGAAGAAATGCATGTTTAAATTTATAACAGAATATTGTAAAATACATGAACATCTACGTAGTTTATATTTATTTTTAATCTATGTAAAATTAATTTAACTAATGCTGATGCAACACATTACAGCAATATACATAGAAAATGTGATTGGCCAAAGATAAAAAAGAAGTCAAGTATTGGATAGGACTAAAATGTGAAAATAACCTTGGTTCTATGACTGGCAGAAGATCGCCAAAGAGCTATTCCGAGTGGAATACATGTACCTTCCTGCCCTTCTCGGTATCGTGAATCTAATAAAAAATTATAATGACGTGTCTGTCTATAAATACCTCCAAACACGTCATTACGTCCTTCAAGACGTCTAGTTAACCTGAGTGACCAAAGGCTCTGGCAGTCTTCCGCCAGTCATAGAACCAAGATTACATATGTAACCAATGTTCTATTTTCTTGACTATAGACTGCCAGAGAAGACAAATATCAAACTTCGGGATGTCAAAACTTGCCTTTCAGTTGTGTCTAGAGATCTGATCTGACCAGTAACTGAACTGGAGAATCCATTAAAAAAATCCCACAGGAGTGGGGTTATTAGTAACAGTGGATGGTTCAGCACCCAAATGCGACTGCAAACTAACAGAATCATTGAAAATGGGGGAAATGCGCATAAGAGACCACTTGGCCATTGCCTCCTGCCTCAGCAAGCCTGTTTCGCTGCTTAGTGAGAATCAATCTGAACATTGCACTGACTGACTGCTCACGAATAGATCTACCTTCACCTTCCCATATGTGTTCTATATCAACTGAATTATTTGAGGATGGAGTTGCCACTCCCTTGGCTATATTATGCTCTGCCATAACACACCTGCCACAGTATTCACATGATCAGGTATGTGCACTGCTCTCAAGGAGGACAGATGGGCACTTGCCCAC